TGGGGGGGGGGCTATTATCCAACCTTGTGATGGGTTCCCTTTTTACCCCTTGCCTCTCCCTGACCAGCCTCCTACTGTCATAATATTGCTACTCCCACCACTGTTCCTGACGGGTTTATCTCTCCTGAATTCCATGTGTCGAGAGCTTTTATCTGTACCAATGTGTGTTCTCTGGTCTAGCCAGATTTGAAAGGTAGAACTGGGTCATGGTAATGGGGGCTGAGGGCGAGGAAGCATTCAGAAACTAGAGGGATGATGTATGATTCATCAGTGCTATACTCGGTTGAATCATCCCTTCCTTATAACCCTTGGTTGAATCGTCCCTTCCTTATAACCATTCTGTGTGTGTATGTGTGTGTGTGTAGGGGGTGGTATTCAGTTGTCTACAGATGGACTTTGCTCTCCACTGCAACTCCCTCTCGCTCGCATCGATATAGTTGTTTGTTTTGGATTTTCTGATATCTGATATCTGATCCCGTCAACACCTCATCATCACCCAGGCTGGTGTGCTTCTTCCATGTGGGCTTATTTGCTTCCCTGCTAGATGGCTGCTTGCTTAACTTCAAGCCTTTAAGACCCCCAGATGCTATATCTTTTGATAACCAGGCACCAAGCAATTTTCTTGATATGTTTATATACATCTATAAGCCTCACTGGATTTCCTTTCCTAGAGGACCTGGCCCAAGATAAGCATTGTATGTGAATAATTATTAATTTTTAAAAATACAATTAAACTTGGAATAGCTTTACTTTTAGCTACCTTTGAATCTCATCTCAATTCTATTTTGAATGTGAGAAAACGATGTGTATTATTGCACAATTAAATGCTGGTTTGAGTTGGAATCTCTGCTGACAAAATGCTAATCAAAGCCTAATCTCAAGGCTGAATGGAATGGACAGTATGTCCTTGGGGAACTCCAAATACCCCCTGTGGAGAAGTCTGTGACTCACAGTGCTGTTGATTATGCACAAGGAAACTATGGCCTAGAAATAATGTCTAATTTTGTTCAAACAAATATGCACGCATGCGTACCCCTCAATAGCTCCTGAAGATTATCATTTGAATTATTTCAGAATGCAGTTACAGCCATGCTCTGTGGAGTTCTGTTCTACTCGGACGCCACTCCACTCATTGACAACTGGCTTGGTTTACAGGAAGGAATAAGAACTCCTTAGCGCTGACTACCAGTCATACCAAAAAGCACAGTCTAAGAAGAAGCTTTTCGTTCAAAAGATGGTGTTTTGATTTTTCACTAAAAGAAAAGAAAAGAAAACACAGGCTAAAAATGAAGTGTTATCAGACTTTGGTTTATTGTAAAATTTATCAAAGTGTGTCATGTAATCCCTGACCCCTTGCTCTGAACATAAAATCAAACACATAATTATTGCTTATCCTTTTCCCCCTACTTCGCTTATGCCACTGTAAGAGAAGGGAGAAAAATCATTGAAATAAATAAAAATACAGATGCAAGAGAGAAAAATAGATCTCTGTCTAGGCAAGGACAGACCGGGAGCGACAGAACCACAATTATGCAGTTTTAAAATAAGCTTCTTTTCAAAAGGTTGCTTTATATATATGTATATATATATGTATATAAAATATCACACCAAAAATAAAAGAATAGCAGCGGGAAAGGAGGATAAATACAAGTTAATTGCACACCAGTCCCATGCAAACACATTGGGTCATTAGCCAAAGCAGTAGTACTCAGAATCCAATGTGGGATGCTTGTGCAGTGCCTGGGCGTCCTCGATGATGGAGCTGTCACTGAATTGGTCAAAGTCTGAAGGGGTCTGATGGCCTGGGACATCATCTGCCAACGTGTCCAGGTAGCTCCCCACGGAGATGCCATCCAGCCCGTCGCTGCCATCGTGTAAGCTAGTGTAGCTGCCACGCAAGGAGGTGCTCTGGCTTTCCAACAGGCTGCACAAGCTGCCGCTGAGACTGCTGCCTCGGCTGGTCACGGTGGCCTTCTCTTCGATCATCCACTTGATGGACTCGATGCTCTCATTGATAACGAGCAACTGGCGCATGAGCCTGACGTCTGTGGCTCGGAGGTTCACCTGTGGAGCCGAGGGCGAGAGGAGAAAACACACCTGTTATTCTCTAATCTGAAAGACATGTCGTTTGTCTCCTGTCTCCTGTCCAAGTCCCCAATGCATTTGATAAAGTACCAGTGCATCGAAGTTAGGATCATTCTCAAAAACCTAGGATGAAAAATCATTTGATTTTAAGATTTTTGTTTTCATTCACTGACCAATCGTGCGCATTATAATTAAAGAGCTCACTTCCTGCCAGACTCCTCATGCTCGAAAAGGGATGCTGAAACTTCCGCTGTATCCTTGCCCCTCACAGAACTGCCTGTGAATCCACTGGATGTCAGGTTCTCTGCTAAGAATGGATTCTCTCTGAGGCCAAATTAATGGCTTATCCAGGTTTATTTGACAATTCGTGTGTGCGTGCTGAAAGATGGGGCGAGAAAGAGAAGATGTGGTAAAGGAGCTACCAACATTATTGTCGTGGCTACCATCGATGGTGGGATAATATATGTACTAGACATGCTACCGAAGCTCACCATTTGCTAACAATTCTATAGAACAGACTTTATTATTTTTATTGATTTTACAGACAAAAAACTGAAGTCTACAGAAAAAGAGCGAAAAGAGTTAAAAAGTTTGAAATGCTTGCACTCTATATGACTGTGTTGACTGAGAGGCGATGAATGCTGTGGTTGGGGGTCATCGAGTCTGTTCTGGCCCACGGTGACCCCATTCGCAGCAGAGTGACACACGGCCCCGTCCTGCACCTGCCTCACAAGCGTTCCTACGCGGGAGCCCTTGCTGCGGCCACTGTGTCAATCCACCTCCTCGAAGGCCTTTCTCTGGACACTGTTTCCAAGTTATGCAGAAGGTTTACCGGGACTACGTCCTCCCAAGTGAGCAGCCGAGGCCTTCCTTGTTGTCTGTTCTTCATCTGGAGGCTCCACTGACACCTGTTCACGGTGGGTGACCCAGCTGGCGTTTGAGAGACCAGTGACATAACTTGCAGCATCACAGCACCACACAAGCCATCACAGTAGAACAAACTGGCAGACAAGTGGATGTGATGAATCATGCTCCTATCATTCCTTTGCTCTTTTACTACTCTCGAAACAAAAGGTGTCATGCTAGCTCAGGTCTGTAGATATGATGGTTTCCTTCAGATCGGTCAAGGCCACACAATCAAAATTGGGATTTGAGACTTATGGAAGGTCCAAAAATTACTTTAAGTGACTCCTATGTGTTCTTTCTGATAGGTCTAAGTTACCTTGAGAAATATGTTTGCACAAGCACCAGACAGAATCTCTTTGGAAGTACTTCAGTTCAATGGGAACATCTGCTAACATCAAAGGTTTGGTAGTTGAAGGGTGGGAGAGCTTCAACATTGTCATGATCACCCTTGTTAATTTTGGAATTGAAGAAGCCTGGCCCTTTTAAGATGCCAGCCCCTGGACTGGGAGGTACAACCACATTTAATGACTAGAGATCCTAGCCATACACATTATAGGTTGCAAATTAATTCTTTCCTTTTAATTGGATATGTTAGTCCGGGTTGACTAGCGAAACAAATGCAGAGACAATCATATGTGTATAAGAAAGAGCTTTATATAAAGAGTACTTGTATATTAAGAAAACACCCCAGCCCAGTCCAGATCAAGTCCATAAGTCCGGTATTAGCCCATATGTCTGATACCAGTCTACAAATTCCTCTTCAGACTCATGAACACATGCAATGCCATTGAATGCAGGAAGATCACAGGCCAGTGGGTGGAAAGCCTTGTGGATCCAGTGGCAGTGGAAGCATCTCAGCACTGACATAGGTCTCCACATGACTCTTCCAGCTCCAGGGCTCTGGTTGCATCTGCATAGCTCCATCAAGCTTGTCATCAGGAATGTCTCACAGCAAGTGTGTGTCCCACCTCCAGGGAGGAAGACCGGAGTTCCCAGAATCCACAGGAGAAGGCCATGCCCACACAGATGCTTCATTGGCTGTGAACTGATTGACAGGCTAGACTCCACCCTTCACAAGTTGATGGATTATATAACTGCCATGCTGGAGTTTTAACTTAAGAAGTGAAGTCATGCTAATTCTCTCTTTTAAAATCCAAAGCTAACTCAGATTTCTGAATCCCTTCCACTTGGGCAAAATCAGCTGTTAGAAACCACCAGAGGTTCAGCAGGAGAAAGGTGAGGCTTTCTACTCCCCTAAGTAGTTACCATCTCGGAAAACCCATGAGGGTAGTTCTACACTGTCTTATAGGGTGGCTATGAGCCTGTATCAACCCTATGACAGTGAGTTTGGAGTTTTTAGAATCATCAGAAGCAATCAGTCTTAAATAACTCAAAGAAGATCAGAAAAACAAGTCCATTGAGTTTCAAAGTATGCCTTCACCATACTCAAATATTTCCTGGTTAGGAGTTAATTCATAACTGAAGGCAAACTTTGGGCTGAGTGAATATGAGGAACAAGCATCAGGATGTAACTAACTCTATGCAATTATAGCTTACCGACTATTCAGTTTCTAAAGCTGTAAAAATACAAGCATAAAAAGCATAAAGAACAATTATAAACCCGTTGTTTTCCTAAGCTTTTAAAATGTCATGGAAGATTTTCTTCTCTGAGAAAATCACTGGGCACAAATGGCATAGAAATAAATTGTTTCTCTACAAGGAAGTGTGTAGCAAGAGCCAGTCTTAAGATGTTTCTCAATGTGGGATGCCATGACAATGACCTTGAAACAACCTCGTGCTGAGGAAGGAGGCTTTCTGGCAGTTTTCACCTTCAAACTCACCCGCACATTCTATGAACCATCAAGATAATCTATTCACACAATACAACAAATATTTACAAATCACCAACCATTTATCTCAGCCCTGAGAAAGCTAGAAAAATCAATATGAGTCAGAGTCTTACAAAATTCTCCAGTTAGCCATCTGTGGCTGATAAAACACGCTGTGCCCACTGTGGGCATGATGCAATTTCTATCTGACCATTGCCCAACGATTCCCCAAATGAACCGCAGCTGAATTTACTCATGAAGAGGCTCCCACAGCCCAGCACTGCGTGTGTTCCTCTCATCTCCAAATCCTCCCCATTCTTGAAGTCCTCATTCTTCCTTCCATCCCTGCTTACTCACACCAGCGTCTTCTGCTAGCCCACTTGACCCCGAGGGTCCTTCACGGTGGTATCTCATCGTGTCACGTAATGTTTTGACTGTGTTTCTATCTACTCTGTCAAGGCTAGATGCTTCGGTCTGTCTACTGAGCAAACACTAGAGAGCTTGGACCAGATGAACAAATGAACATCAGAAGAGGAAGAAGCCTTACTAACAAACAGCGGACGACACACTTTGTGTGGGGAAAGCCAAGAGGACCTGAACTCTTAGTGAAGATGATCAAAGAGTGTAACCTGGATGCCGCCAAAACAGAAAGAAAACAGAAGGAAAGACTGAAGTTGTCCAGGACTTCGTCTTCCTCATGCTCATCGACAAGGCCCATTCAAGCAGCAGTCAGGAAACCAAATGACATACTGCATGGGCAGATGTGCTGTACAAGACTTCTGGAAAGTGCTCAAAAAAACTAAAAACAAAAGATGTCACTTTGAGTACTAAGGCAAGCCTGGTTGGCCCAAACCATGGTATTTTCAATCACCTCCTGAGCATGTGAAATGTGGGCAATGAAGAAGCAAGACTGAAGAATTGGTCCCTTGCAGTGGTCATGTTGGCAAGAACATGGAATAGGCCATGGAAGGCCAGAAGAACAAACCAATCTGTCTTGGAAGGAGGACAACTAGAACACACCTTACAAACGAGTCTGATGAGAGGTTGCTTCACAAACTTTGGACATGTTATCCAGGGGGACCAGTTCGAGAGCAGGGCATCGTGCTTGGTAATGTAGGGGGTAAATGCACCAGTGGAAGACCCTCAGCAAGCTGGATGGAAATAGGGGCTGCGACCATTAGTTCAGAGAGAGAAAAGGTTGAGTGGGTGCTGGTGGACATGTCTTACAAGCCGCAATCTGTGCAAAGCACTGATGAGGATGTTACAAAAGGCAATAACCTTAGGACTCGTGACAGCTCAGCGCTGAACACTCCAACAACAGTATGACTTTGGTTTAGAATTTATTTCGGATAAATTCTCTTTTCAGCCATTTTTCTCTGACTTAGAGTGACTGTGTCAAGTAAAATGTAGTCAACATTCGAGCAAAAAGAATGAAACGCCAGTAGACATGAAAAAAACAAAGCTTCCTTTGTCCATGACATCCTTCATTTAAATAACAAATCTTTATCCTACCAAAGGCACGGAATTCACAGGCCACTGAACGACTTTTGAGGGAAACTGCTGGAAGCAAATGGGTGAGATCATGTTGGCAGGGCTGATAAGGACTGTAGATTTAACTGCGTCAAACCTTGTGTCCCTGCTGGTGACTAAGAGTCAGCAGTTTTCCACTGTGGGAGCTTGGGGCCAGCTGGTTCACACGGCTGCCATCCTCCGGAATCAATGTTCTAGATCAATGCTCCACAGGCGGTGAAGCAAGCAGTTCCGACATCAGCCAGGCAGCTTCGTGGTGCTTCCTCCTTGAGCTCAGGAGTGGTTACAGTGCTGACGAGCCTTGGCCGTCTGAGCTCTCCCCCAAAGACCCTGCTCACAATATGGCTTCAGTCTTAGCTGTTACTCATTTCAAATCAGGCCACCGATTAATCAGACCATCTATCTGCCTTATTGGTTGAAACCCTGTGGCAACTCAAGTGCAGTTTCCATGGAGATTAAGAGAAGACAGCTCCTCCTGTGGTGTGTGTTTAAATGTCCCACTCTTGATAGGACCTTTCCTGCTCAGTCGTGGCACCTGGTCTCTGGGCCCAATTTTATGTTATATTTCCTTGTATTTTGTTGACTCTGTAACACTTAGGACTAGCTGAAAGCACCTGGCTTAGCATTTGTTTTGGGTGGCGGCAGTTTTCCTCGTTCGTGCATGAGACCTGGGTTTGGTTACTGACCTGTGCATCTTGTGCACAGGCACCGTCT